GGGGGGGGGGGGGTGCAGAGACACGTTTTGGAATGAGTTACATAACTGGTCGTGATAAATAACATGTTAGCAACATGTATTATTTAGAATAGGGTACTTTTAGCCTACTATTTGCATTTGCATTTTTTCTTGCAACAAGAATATGGCTAGCATTTATTCTGTGTGGTGTTAAGTTTTCTTTATTTTGTTTTCTGTGATATATCTCACCTAAATGCAATATTAATTCTCACACTCAGCAAGTAGCTGTTTACTCCTCAGGCTTTTTAGTTAAGTTAAGATAGTAAGTGTGTAAAGTGTGATTATTTAAAGTTTTTTCAAAATACAGTCCCAGACCAAAAACTATTCAGAGCAATAACTGTACGATATACTATATACTCTTATATAATGTACGAACACCTATTGTGATGCGATGAGTTAAGTTCCATACTTAGGCTCACGTGATGACAGCTGAGCTATCTCCATGGCAACTCAGCAAAGACAAGGCTGAAAGCTCCAAAAGAAAGCTATTAAGAGGACGAGTGAAGATTCTTTTCCCAAACTTTTGAAGGCTTTTTGAGACTAAAGCGGCAAAAAAAGACTGTAATAAGCTGTAAGACAAGTGTGCAGTAATTTCTCTACTGCAGGATATGAGGTACAGCGTCTTTTACCAGATTATGAAAATACACTGGTACCTCTGTCATTTGATGGCCCACCTTGAAACAAGCCTGTTAAACAGTCCTTAGCCCCCCCAAAAAATGCTGCTGTAGGAACAGTAACAAGAGACACGTAATCTCAAGCAAATTGGAATGTGATGATAGCGACATTGAGACGACGTGGTAGTGTAGGTCAGTAAAGTGGGGGGGGGGTAACACACGGTCATGTCATCATCTGATACGGAGTTCAATGTCAGGGAGTCATGCTATCATCAGATATACACTTATAAAAACAGACGACAGAAAAACAAAGTAACATGGTTTACACTATAAGAGTAATACTATTGCTCGCGAACGTCGAAAGCTTGAAACTCTCTTATTGTGTGAAATAAAAATAAAAAAACATTACAAAGAGTGTCTTCGACTACATGTAAAAAGGCACAGTTGGCGATCCTGATGACAACAGTAGTTTGGGATAACGTGCTAAAAGGTGAGTCTGTCAGACAGCAGGCACACTATCAAGCCAACAAAAGCGTGTAGTATAGACACACACACACACACACACACACATTCTCCGCTCAGTGGACTGCACTCTGACTCTAAAACAGCTCCTTTCACTCACACGTCCACACAAACACAGACAAATACGTTAAAAAGATACATTGGAAGGCTGTCATGGAATGATAGGCATTGAGTTAAAACAGGGAGCATTTACGGATCTGTGCTTGGCTGTGTATTAATTGTCTAAAAAAAATCCTTCCGTTCCTTAATATATATCAGTAACACTTTGCTTGGAGTGCACTGGTAATGGAATCTCATAAGCACATCACAGCATCTTAATTTGTTTTTACACTGTATCAGATAATCATAATCAAATTTAATACATTATCACATGCAATGGTACGGCTTGACTTCAAGCAAAGTGCCACTTCCTTTTACCTGACCTTGCAATACAAATGACTGCAAGAGGTTGAGGAGAAAGTTGGAAGAGAAGGCACGTTTTTAAGACAATCAACAATCCTGGGTTCAAATGTCCCCTGCAGTGCCACCTCAGGCCTAACTTCAGCTGTGAATGGAGAATAAAATAAAATAAAATAAAATAAAAAAATCAACCCCCACAATGGACATTTTGGGAGCGTCTTCCACCCTGCTTGTTGTGCCCAGGCCCGTCCTCTCGAGCGCTGCTGCTGTTAGTTGTTTCACGTCAGCAGGCCCATACGAGTGAGCTTGGCTGACAGGAAGGAGTGGAGCACGAACACTACCGGCTTTGGACCCGAGTGGAGGTCAAACACCTGGAGGATGAAGGGAGGAAGTGAGGTATGCAAGGAGAAACAGCAGGGAAGATGGAACAGGAAGAGAGAGATGAGGATGAGGAACTGTTGGGTCTCTAAATAATTTTAAGGAGTTCGGTCTAGACCTGCTCTATTTGAAAAGGGTCCCGAGATAACTTCTGTTATGANNAATAAAATTGAATTGAATTGTATGCAAAAAAACCTGATATTTAACCCCCTTGCATTTGCAGATAATGCAGATAATTTACAGTATATTAGCTTACATGTGAAATCTCCTCACCTTGAATATTAGTAGATTATATGTACAGTCACTTCATTATACTATCAGCTGTTTTTATTCCAGTCTGTAGTGTTTATTGCAACAGCAGTTATTAGCAGTTTTCCAGAGAAAATGAAGTAACAGTCCTCTTGACCATTGTGTCTCAAATGGGGGTACGCGCAACTGACATGGACAATAACTGGAAAGATGCTGTAATCAATAAAAATTCTACACATAGGGACTCTGATCTAGGGTTTCAAAGTTTCATTAGTGAGTAATCTGCTCATTATTTTTTCTATTAATCAAAGAATTATTTTGTTTTTAGTTTGAATAAAAAAGCTCAAATCATCTTTAAGTGACTTATTTTGTCCGAGCAACTCATATTCAATCTACAATGAGATAAAACAGAGAAATGCCTTTAATTTAAAAAGTTGGAACAAGAGAAAGTAAGAGGCTGCAAGAGAAAGCACTGAAACGATTAAACAATTATAAAATTTGTTATTTTCTGCTGATTGACTAATTGATTAATGGGCTAATTGTTTCAGCTCTTCTTAATGCTAGGGTTATGCTTAGGTGGTAGCAAATCTCCACCATTTTAAGGATAATGCGATGACACAGTGTATGAGGCCAGTGAAAGAAATGATTAGTTGCACGTCTGCGAGGTACATCGGTCCTGATAGTCTGCTGGTGTCAGCATGTTGTTTGGACAAAAGGTTTCAAGGTCAATTTATGGTTCTTTAGTGTCTGTGGTTCCTTTTACTGCAATCTTTTGTGACTCAACAGAGATTAGGAAATCGTGTACCTTAATAACTGAGATGTGCTGTTGTTCAGTCACTCTGACATAGCTTGTAACTTGTTCAAGGTTCCCACTCTTTTTAAGAAATCATTTTCCAGGACATTTCCAGGACATTTTCTAGGGGGTTTCTTGACAGTACAGGGCAATACTTGCTCATAAACTGTCATATTGTATTGACACATTGAATTTCAGTTTTTATTGATGCAGGGTTCATGATGAAGTGTCTCAGGTTCATGACGGGTAGCTGGTCAGCTTTAATGGGATACTACTGTTTTCACCGCAGCCAATTTTCCTGCTGCAGTGGAGCAGAGCTTTGGTCTCCTGCTGAACTGACTACAGTTTACTACAGTTTTCCTCTAAAGGCCTCCGCACACCAACCGGACGGCCGACCGTCGGCAGAAAAGCAGTCGCTAATCTGTGTTGTCGCCCAAAAAAAAATAATAAAAATGAAAACCAGAAATGACGGATCAC